CAAAGGCAGTACGCCCAGCATTGCCTGATTTTGTCAAGAGAATCTGGAAATGTAGATTTTTATATGTAGTCTCTTGAATTTTAAGATGGTAACAACAATTTTAAAGATTTAAATACAGCCCTGACTAAACAAAATGTGTCTTCAGGCCAGATTTGGCCCAGAGGAGACCTCTGATATCCTTGGACAAGAATAAAACTTCCCACCAACAACATTATTCTCTTATGAGAAAGTAGGGTACCAATCTAGCAATTTGACAGTAGCTTATGGCTTGGGTCTGGGAATGGGGGAGAAAAGTAAGAACACTTTATAGAAGCCAAAGTCTTCACCCTTATGGACTGAAAGATTAGTTGGAGAATTACAAGCCTTACACTATCCCAAGTACATGGCAATGTGCACATGGACATTTATTGCAGGACATTCTGACTCAGTGGATACTTGGATTAGACAAATGCCTGCCTGTTTTGTTTTGCCAAGATCATGAAATGGTGCATGTTTTGGGAAGGATAATTTCTCAATTACTGATTCTGAAAGTGAAATGTTCCATGGGCTAATTTTTTTCACCTTGTTCTTCCTTTCCCTTGCTGCTGGTGGCTGGGTAAAGGGAGTAGTACATGCCTTTATTCTTTACAACCTGTTAAAAGCCATGTGCTCAGCATCGTTAGTGGGGTGAAATTTCTGACAGGTTCTAGAGTTTATGTCTCCTCAACTTAGAGAAGCTTACAGGTTGGGTTTTTTTTTTTTTCCTAGCTTGCTAATGAATAGGACTTCATCCCATGAGCAGATCTAGGTTTTGTAGAATCTGAGGCATATATGATTAAAGGACACGATTAAGAAAACGAGTTACAAAAAAATTATCAGAAAGTTTTATGAAAATGATTTGATTTTTGTGAACACACATGGGTTAAGTGAAGGATCTTTAAATTCAAGTTCACTTAAACAGTGAACTTTTTCTGGCCCTACAACAGTGTGCAAAGGGATTTCTGCACCCCACAATACCATTCGACGGTGTTGTGGGGATAATTATCTCCTATATACCAAGGAGCCATGTAGAGCACTAATACGCCAAGTATCTTGCTAGTTCTGATGCGTTGTTCTCCACAAATCCCTATACTAACTGCCTCCCACGACTGCAGTCCTGCGGCTGGAGGCTCACCAAGGGTGGCACTGAGTCGGGATTGTCTTGGGAAGGTGTAGAGGAAGAAGTGTGTGCGTAAAGATCAATCAATAAATTGGGGAGTAAGTCTGGAACAGACCCCTTGTAAAGTTCCCAGGAGAGGCGGACTCCAGGACCCCCCGCGCCCCAGCGCCTATCCGGCGCCTTGGCTCCGTGGCGCGCATGCTCCGTACCGGGCCTCTCCGGCAGCTCCGGATAATGAGCGCCGGGCCGAGGGGGCGGGCCAAGCCGCGGCTGGTGCGACCCGGAGCTCTGCTGTGGCCCGAGGGGCTCTGCGCTGCTGCTGAAGGGGCGGCTGCAGCGGCCAGCTCTGTACGTCCGAGTGGGGCTCGCTCGTTCGCCTCGCACGCCCCGTCGGTCCCCTGGGCCCTCTGGGGGTGACTCGGACGGGCCGGGCCGGCGGCGTTGCCTGTCGGGAGGGCGGGGATGAGGAGAGGAGCTGCTGCCGCCGCTCTCAGCCCGCCGCGGCCGTAGCGGTAGTCAAGGGCGGAGGCAAAGCCAGCTGTACCCTCGCCGGGCTGCGAACTCAGACAAAGGAGGAGCCGCCGTAGGAGCGGGCCAGCGCCTTGAGAAAGGAGGTCGCTGCCTGGGGTGGCCGGAGTTCGCGGCCACCGCGCTTCCTTAGCGGGCGCTGCGCGAGGCAAGGGCCGGCCGGGCCAAGGAAGCCGCCCCCGGGGCCGCCGCCCGCCCGCCGGCGCCGCCCCCGAGCCGCCTCGGCCGTAGCTGCGGCCCGGGCGGGAGGCGGCGGCCGCCGGCGAGGCGAGGCGGCCCGCGCCCTGCCTGTCAGGCCACCGGCCCTGCCCGGTTCGGCCCGCGGGCCGCCCCCGATGCGGAGGCTCTGCCGCCGGGGCCATGCAGCAGGCGCCGCAGCCGTACGAGTTCTTCAGCGAAGAGAACAGCCCGAAATGGCGGGGACTGCTGGTCTCGGCCCTGCGGAAGGTCAGTTCTGGGGCGGGGGTGGCCGCCAGGGCCCTGGGAGGGGCCGGACGGCGGGCGGGGTGCGGGGCCCGGTCCCCCGAAGTTCTAACGGGGAGTAGCTTGTTCTCCCAGCACTTGGGTCCCGAGGCCAAACAGTGTCTCTGCCTGGCGACAGGGAACTCATAATTGCCTGTTGCATCCTGAAGGACGTTTTCTCAATTTTTTTTTTCTTTTTTGGCCGGGTCCCGGAAGGAAGGTTTTGTTATGATCATAAAACTGGATTTCATGTTGCAGTCATTTCGTCAGACAACTTCCGCCGTTGACCAATTTGTTGTCCTCAGGCAGGATTCGGGCAAGAGAAAGTACCGCTGATATTTAGACAGTTTCTAAAACAAAAGCTCATTTTCAGGTCGGGTAATTATTTTTAATTGAATTCTTTGGGGGTGTTCCCCCCAGGCAGTTTGCTTGTCAAGGTTGTCCACTCGCTTATAAGGCATTGCTTTTTCTTTCTTTTTTGTAATATGAATGTTTCACATGTGTGAAGTGTCAGTGAATCATAATACTCATTTTACAATTCTTGAGGTGAATCTAAAGCGCCTCCCCACTTCCAGCAAAAGACGTCTTGCCTTAATACAGATATTTTCCTTATCCAATTTGGTTAGTTTCTTTTCTGGGTACAATTTCGAATGTGGAATCACTTTAAGGAACAAAAAAGGGGACAGCTCATACAAATCGATCTTTCAAGTTTGGGCGTATTGTTAGGATGCTTCTCTCCTGTTCGTGGTGTCAGTCTTCCTCTGTGAACTTAGGTAATAATTATACTGTCATTTTCATAATAAATTATCTTGTGAGGTCAAGACAAATTCAAAGACTGTATATGGGTTCATGATTACTTGTCATGCTCACTAACATGGGCTTCCTATACTGTTGATACAGACTTAGTCCCTTGTCTTTTATGTAAAATAACCAAGAATAAATTGTAAAAATAATAAAGAAAAAACAATTTTAAAAGATTGCACTTGGGGGCTTGGGATATAGCTCAGTTGATAGAGTGTTTGCCTCCCATGCACAGGACCCCAGCACCACGAGGAAAAAAAAGAAAAAAAAAAAAGGCTACACTTGGAATGTAATTCTTTATACATTAAATTCCTAGAAATGAAAGGCAGTAGTGCATTTAAAGGTAAAAACGTTTTCTTCATGCATTCAGAATTTCAAATTTTCTAGTTTCATGATTCTTAAAAGTAGACATTTCTTCCCTTAGGGCAAACACCAAGTCGTGGCTTTTTAAAACACTTGGTGGAATGACTGTCATTTCACTGGTGTGCAGGGTTCTAAAGTATTAAATTGACCTTCTTCCATGCATAGCCCAATTCTGTAAGGAGAGAGAATGAATTTGGAAGTGTGCTGAATGATGTTAATGAACTCTGGCCTGAATTAAAAGCAAAGGAGGAAATGCTTAGATAGTAATTAGCCCTTCTACCATGCAGAAGTGTGAGTGAAGTTACCAGGTAGGCCTATATTGTCGGCAGAATGAAGCAAGTATATGCTCATTAGTACTTTGTGGTAGCAAATAGTATTTAAGTGTAGGTAGCTTTGATTCTAATAATCCTCATGTACAGGTTCAGATTTATTTTTTTCAGGCTAGGTTAGAACGAAATCAGGACTAGCATCTAAGCCTGGTACATTGCCTTGGTCCTATTACTTAGCGTTTAAATGTTGTGCTTGTTTTCTAGGTGCCTTGCAGATACTATATTGTTGTATTCAACAATTGTGGTATATCCTTTGCTTATAAAATTACTAAGAAAATTTGGCCTTTTGTGGTGAATTATAAAAACAATTTCTATTAATTTATTAAATCAGTGTTATAGAATTGAGATACATTCCCATGGAATCATTTTTTATATCTCTGGAAAATTTTTGGTGAAAGTGATTCAGATTATATCTATTTTTACAGTATTTGGAACATTGTGACATGCAGTTTCATAGTGCCTACTATGAGTTGCAGGCATTACAGCTCTTAAGGTACTCAAGATTCACTCTGCTAACCATGTTTTTGTATGATAAGAATTTCCACCATTTATGAAGAAGACTGTCTTCATATTCATAGGCTGTAGGTTGGGAATGTAACTCAGTGGTAGAATGCTTACTAGCATGCCAAGGCCCTGAGTTCTATCCCTAACACTGAGAAGAAAAAAAGAAGAAAAGCATGCAGAACTTAAACCACCTTCCTCCAGATGACCATAGAGTTACAGACTACTAGGATTTGACTATACTATTTCTCTCTTTCATTTGGCACTACCATTGAACATTTGATATATTATAACTCTATGCATTGTTTAATATTTATTGAACACATTTTAGGTACTTGGCACCATGTTGGATATTAAGATTACAAAAATAAAATTTAAAAAGTAAAGGCCTTTACAAGCTAGACCAAAAGTTCTAAGAAGCATTTACCAACTAGACCAAAATTCTAAGTTCTGAGGTTTGGGTTTTTGTAAATGAGATACCAATTCTAAGCTTAGATTTCTGTAATGAATATCCAGTAGCAATGTAGTTTAATTGGCTCTGTCAGGTTAATGCATTTTAAACATCTTAGTGGAACCTCCAAAATTATTAAAATAGAATTTTCAGAAAGGCAAAAATTCTGTGCAAATGTAAAGAAACATGTGTCAGTGATGTCATTATTTAATGAGAGCTCTAGTAAAATGTTAGATTCATGTAAATTTTTTATTATTTATAGGTCAATTTATCTTATAAATAATAATAGAAAATAATGAAAGTTTCAAGCAGAACACTGCACTGAGAAATGCCTAGTATTATCTTTTGCTGGGTTTCAAGTTTTGGCTAATTTTTATGAAGACTCTGTTTGGCAAAATCATCATTTTCAACATTGAAAAAACAAGGGGTGATAGCTTCTGCAGCACATACACTAAAATTGGAATGGTACAGAGAAGATTAGCATGGCCTCTGTGCAAGGGTGATAGCAAATTCATGAAGTGTTCTGTAAAAAAAAAAAAAAAAAAAGGAAAGAAAATGTAAGGGATTTAAAAAAAATAATATGTAAGTATTTATTTTACTATGTAGAAACACAAAGGCTGAGGAATGGATTTATGGAAAAATAATCGTAAAAATAGAAATGTGTTGTTCTTTAACTTAACTCAGGGTCTCCATGTACTTTACCACTGATCTACACTTCCAGCCCTTTCTTTAACTTTAAAAGCAAAACCTCAGCTAGGGCATTTAAAAACATACAGGGCTACAAAGCAGAGTTGAAATCACATTATTAATTGATAATATGTGGATTGTTAACATTATTGCTAAATTATGTATCTTTCCCAAAAGAGCCAAGATCATAAGTGCCTTCACCAATACTCCCCAAGAACATTGAAGCTATGGTATTCTGTGGGAAAAAAAAGAGCAGGGCTACATTTGTAAGTGTAGTTTATTACCTTTGATTTTGAAGTATCTTTTATTTTATGCATGTGCTGATTATATGCTGAGATAAATTAGCACTCTTCATATGGCAAATATGTCTTAAAACAATTTTACCACATTTTCAGTCTGATATTTCCATGGTAAATGACTTTTCTATAAGGTTTTCCTTATCAGGCTAGCCATGGAAAAGAAAAATGTCTATTTTCTTACCATCTGTAGTTATAAATGTCAGACAGAGCTAGAAAGAATTGGTTGAATTCCTGGGTCTAATTCAATTCCTGTTAAATATCGACCTCCCTACCCTGTGACAATTTTGCTCTCAGATAGCTGTCTAAAAGGCAAGTGATATAGAAAATGTGTGGGTTAATTAATAGCAGTCCATGGCAAGGAAAAAGTAGGTAAGAGCTCTGACTGAGAAATGCCTTTGTGAAATCTGAAAGATTCTAGTGTTTTCTGCCTTTCTACCAATGTCTGTTGGAAGTTTGTTTTAGAAGACTGTACATGATCTTTCCTGAGGCCCACAAGAAAAGTATAGGGTGACTTAAGAAAATAAAATTGGTGTCACTGATATATAATAGGTCACAGAAGTCTTTAAGTACTGGGTTCTGGAGGATATATGGTACTGAGTGTATCCTGTATGCCAGGCACTATTCTTGATACTGAGGATTGTAGCAAGGTCCCTTCTGTCATAAAACTTTCATTCTAAATGGCTGGGAGAGGGCTGGGAGAGACAGACAATAAAGTTGCAAGCAATTATAGGAAAGATAAGTAGGAATTAACAAAACAAACGAGGAGGAGAAGAGATTTGAGGTAGAGGGAACTGTAGGACTTTATTTAAATTAAGAACAAAGAGAATAAGGTCTTTATTTAAATTAAGAACAAAGAGAATAAGGAGAAGTAGCCTGTGTGGTAGACTATATGTAGGTGAAGTTAAGGTCTCTACCTTAGACCAAGAAAGTTGTGTATGGTTATTTGTTAATTATGTAGCAAGGTAATTACATTAACTTGATCGTAATTGCTCTTTGAAAAGATCACTCCAGGTTAAAGCCAGAAACTAAGAGATCCTATGATTTTTTTTTTTTTTTAAACGTGAGGCCTGTTCTGGATTTCCTAAAGCTACTGAATACAACAATAGAACTCAAGAGAATCATTTGGAATTATTCTAAACTAACAATAGCTCAAACCTAATGCAAAGGGTTCAGCCAGAACTGGATGAGCATTAGAAATGCATTTTAACTCGGTGCATTTAGCTCCCTGTCAGCCATGATTTAGTAGCCTTTTCTATTTTCAGTTTAATTTTGGTATGGTATATTTGGAGTAATAATATTCCATTAAAGTGTTTTATGCTGAATATCCACAGCATTACCTGTGTTACCACTTGACATAAATCAAGTATGTGTCTTTTATATTAACCATAGCTTCTCTTTAAAAGGAACAGTAGTTTGATTATATCCTCTGTTAGCCTTTATATTGGAATTAAGAAGGAATTTTAATGAAACTAATGGATATGGCATTATCTCATGTAGTCAGCGTTAGAAATTAACAACTTAAAGTTTTTTTCTTTTCATAAAAATGTGACAATAAGTAGAAATCTTTTAAAATGTATAAAGTGTTATAAACTTCACATTTTAATGTGTAGTAGTGAAGCAACACAATAAAAATAACATCAAGATCTAGGTATGGGTACTAGTGTTAGCTCTTTCAAGTAAGATTTTTCTACATTCTAGTTTTCTTCAAGTTATTTTATAAACTCAAATTCTACTTCTTATTTACAAAACAATCTGTAGTACTTTCTTAATTGACCCATTAGCAGAATTTGACTGCTGATATTTCCCTCTTCCTTAAAATCCTTAATATCTTTGTTTTATTTACTTATTTTTTTATATGGTGCTGAGGATTGAACCCAGTGCCTCACACATGTGAGGCAAGCACTCAACCACTGAGCTACAACCCCAGCCCTGGAAGTCCTTTTCTTACATGACTTCCAGAACACCATACTCTTCTGGTTTTCTCTCTTTGGATATCCTTTCTTATTTATTTATTTATTTAATTTTTTAAATTAATTAATTTATTGGTTCTTTTTAGTTATATATGACAGTAGAATCTATTTTGACATAATTATAAAAGCATGGGCAATATCCTGTTCTAATTTGGTCCTCAGTACCTCTTCTTCCCCTCCCCTTCCTTCTTCCCCCTCCCTTTCTTCTACTGGTCTTTCTGCCATTTACTCATATAGTTATTTTTAAAAAAAATTAATTTCTTGTGAATATAGATGATGGTGAGATTCATTGTGGTATATTCATATATGTACATAGGAAAGTAATGTTAGATTCATTCCACTCTTTCCTTTTCCCATCTCCCCTTGCTTCCTTTCATTCCCCTTTGTCTACTCCACTGAACTTATATATATTTTTTTCTTATCTCTTCCCTTACTGTGGGTTAGCTTCCACATACCAGAGTAAACATTTGATCTTTGGTATTTGGGGATTAGCTTATTTCACTTAACATAATAGTCTCCAGATTCATCCGTTTACCAACAAATGTCGTAAAGTCATTCATCTTTATGGCTAAGTAGTACTCCATTGTGTGTATATGCCACTTTTCCTTTATCCATTCATCTCTTGAAGGGCACCTAGGATGGCTTTATAGGATATTCTTTCTAGGTCTTCTATCTTGATTCCTTTTCATTTTCTCATCCACATCATTTTGACCTCCCCAGGGCTTAGTTATAGACTTGTTTCTTTTTTTACACCCACTCTCTTGGGTATAAAGAGAGCTTTATTATTTCATATATCATTTATACATATTTACAAATTCCTTCTCCTTGCCCTCTCACATAGTAGGCAAATACCACGGAGGTATATATCCTCAGACCCCTCTCCTAAGGTTTTTTTTTTTAATATTTATTTTTTAGTTTTAGGTGGACACAATATCTTTATTTTATTTTTATTTGGGGCTGAGAATCAAACCCAGTGCCTCACTCATGCTAGGTGAGCGCACTAGCACTTGAGCCACATCCCCAACCACCCCCCTAAGTTTTAACTTTCGTTTTTTTATTTTTATACTTCCACATAGATGTATGATGGTTATCTCAACCAATATTGAATTCTTCCTCTTCCTCCCAGAACTTGCTCCTTTTGTAGCAGTTCCCGTATCAGTAATTGGCTACTCCATCCTTCCAATTGTTCCAGCTAAAAATCTTGTGTTATTTTTTAATCTTTCTTTTTTTTTTTAGGTTTCTATCTAATTCATGCCTTCATTTTATTTTTTAATTGATTTTATTATTTTTTAAAATACACAACAACAATGGAATGCATTACAATCCTTATTACACATATAGAGCACAATTTTTCGTATCTCTGTATATAAAGTATGTACACGTCAATTTATGCCATTATACATGTACTTTTTTTGCATCACAATTCTTAATACACATATATACCACAGTTTTTCTGTATATAAGGTGTGTTGACACCCAATTCAAATCTTCATACATGTTCTTTGGATAATGATGACCATCACATTCCACCATCCTTGCTAATTCCTTCCCCCCTCCTTTTCCCTCCCACCCCTCTTCCCTATCTAGAATTAATTTAATCCTCCCATGCTGTCCCTCCCTACCCCACTATGAGTCACCCCCCTTATATCAGAGAAAATATTCAGCATTTGTTTTTTGGGATTGGCTGACTTCGTTTAGCATTATCTTCTCCAGCGCCATCCATTTACCTGCAAATGCCATGATTTTGTTCTTTTTTAATGCTGAGTAATATTCCATTGTGTATAAATGCCACATTTTTTAATCCCCTTCATCCATTGAAGGACATCTAGGTTGGCTCCACAGTTTAGCTATTGTGAATTGTGCTGCTATAAACATTGATGTGGCTGTGTCCCTGTAGTATGCTGTTTTTAAGTCCTTTGGGTATAGTCCGAGAAGAGGAATAGCTGGGTCAAATGGTGGTTCCATTCCCAGATTTCCAAAGAATCTCATTGTCCTTGGATAGAAGATGTATCAGATATTAAACTGATAAGAACAGATACTACACTTGATCTTAGACAAAAGGCTAAGCGAATGAATCTTTTTTTTTCATACCATGTATCTAATCTTTTCACAATTCTTTTAGCTCTACTTCCAACTCTAACTACATCTAGTCACCATTTCATACTTTTCTTAATTCACCACCTAGAATCAGGTGATCATCACTGATCTCTTGGAGTTTTGAAATTGTCTCTTAACTGGTCTCTTGCTTCATTCAGTCTTAGCACAACAGAGATAAGTGAGATCATATCACTCTTTTGTTCAAAATTCTGTCAATGCTTCTCAGAATAAAAGTTTTTTGTTTTTATGGCCTGCTAGGTTCTCTGTAGTTAGTGATGCCCCCTGTTGCTTCTACCTTTTGAACTACTTAATACTGTCCCTTGTTTGCTCCACTCGTACTCCATACTGGTTTTCTTATGTCTATAACACATTGACATGTACTAGTCTCAGGACTTTCATGCTTGTTTTATCTTCCTGGAACACCTTTTCCTCAGTTGATTATGTTGCTGGTCCTTTTATCTCCGTTAGGTCTTTATTGTC